ATATCTTTGTGGAGTTCTCTGTATTTCCTGAATTTGAAATTTGGACTGCCTTGCTAGTCTTGGGAAGTTCTCCTGGATAATATCCTTAAGCATGTTTTCCTGTTTGGATTCATTCTCTCCATCATCTTCAGGTACACCAAGCGTAGGTCTTTTCACATAATTCCATAATTCTTGGAGGCTTTGTTCATTTCTTTTCACTCTTTCTCTTGCCTTGCCTTCTCTTTTTATTTCATTGAGTTGATCTTCAATCTCTGATATCCTTTCTTCTGCTTGATCGATTTGACTATTAAAACTTGTTTGTTTCACGTAGTTGTTGTGCTGTGTTTTTCAACTCCATCAAGTCCCTTGTGTTCTTCTTTAAGCTGGTTATTCTAGTTAGCATTTCTTCTAACCTTTTTTCAAGGTTTTTGGTTTCTTTGCATTGAGTTAGAACGTGTTCCTTTAGCTCAGAAAAGTTATTATTCACCTTCTAAAGCCTGTTTCTGTCAATTTGTCACACTCCTCGGTCAGGTTGTGATCCTGTGTTGTTAAAGAGCTGTGATCCCTTGAATGAGAAGAGCTGTTCTGGTCTTTGATGGCTTGATCTTTTTTGCACTGTTTTTTTTTTTCCCCCATCTTTGTGGATTTACCTGGCTGTGGTATCAGGGAGCTGCCTGATGAGGTTGCTTGTCTGCCTGTGGAGGCACTACTGGGTTTCTAGAGATTCCTTAAGGTTACTAGGGAGCTTCCTGTGTCTTTTACTGTTTATACTGGGAGATGAGGCCCGCCTCCTCCGCTGACCTGTAGGCTCTGCTGGGTTGTCAAGAATGCCGTCCCGTTGCTACGTAGGCTTCCTGTGTTTTTGTTAAAACATGTAGCCCAGTCCCACCCCTCTAGTGGTGGGTTGTGCCCTTCCTCCGCTGAGCTGGATCATTCAGGGTTCAGCTCAGGCTGTGGCACTGACAACGCAATCCACTAGAGTCACAGCTTCAGCCCTCTGGGATTTGTGGGGGAGGGTAGGGACCCACCCAGCCGCACCTGGCCAACTCCCCTTCAGCTTCCTCTGTCTCCAGTCATGGGGTAGGGACCCACCCAGCTGCTCCTGCTTATATCTCCCTCTCCATCCCTGAGGGGAGATGGGGCGATAGCTCAGTTCACGGGCTCTTATTCAACTCCACACTTGTGATTCCCGGGGCTTTACTGGCAAAGAGCCCCTGTGCTCTGTATTGCTGAGCCTTTGGGGGAAGCGCTGTATCTGGACCAGAGTGCCAGAGGGGGAGCCTTCGACTCACCAATCAGATGCACTTTCTCCGTGAAGCAGCACCCCTCCCTGCCTTGGTCTGCTCTGACTGGGCTTTGCTTATCATCGAACCAGACCCATTGAAATGCACCTAGTACCTTGGTTAGAGCTAATAGATCTCTGGATTTCTCAATCTCTTCCTGGGTGTTGTGCACTGGAGCTGTATCTAATCGGCCATCTTGGATCTCTAGCTGGGCCCGGGTCTGCAGACAAATCACCTCTGCACCACAGGGAGGCTACCTCTGAGGCCCGCAGGGAGAGGGCAGGCCGGCATGAGCCCCCTCGTGGACTCCGAGCTTGATCTGGATGCGTGCCTCCCTGTCATTGTCCTCTGCTCCTGTCTGGGAACACGTGCCCCTCACCCCCCTCCTCTACTGCTCCCGCTGGTCAGGCAGGCTCAGGCCCAGTGCTAGGCTGCCCCGCTGTGCCCTGGAGCCCAGTGGCCAGGGAGCCACGGAGTTTCCTGCCCTAGAAACTCCAAAGTAGGGCTTTTTAGAACTCCGATTTCTTGTCTCCCAAGCTCCACACTACTAAAGATTCAGGGGAAAGCACATCACTGATTTCAAATGATCCTGGGAATCTAAATATTTTATAACATTAGGGTAACTCTGTTTTTCATTAAATGAATTACCTAGCTACACCCCCAACCTCACCAAATCATTTCAGTATCATTGCTATAGACTTTTCTTACAGTTTCATGCACACCTCAATTTCTATTAAAATAGCTTCCCCTCTGATACGAGAAAGCTTCATGCTCTTAAAGACACTTAAAACTAGGTGAACCGTATTCTGAAGACAGAATAATTAAATATGATCAGAATATACTTTCCGATGTGAGATAACATAGACATGAAAAGAAAGTGTTTTCACTCTCTGGCATAATATACCTGTGCAATAGCAAAAGATTATTAACCTTTCACACGATAACATTTGGCATCAGCATTCTAGCTTGTCATATAAACAAAGCTGGTAATTTCAACCTCCTGGAATTTTGACAATCCAAATGATTTTTGTTTGTAAAATGGTGAGAATCACATAGGCATCTGGCTTCCTTCATTCAGCAATGTTGCTGTTATTTTTGCAACAGAAAATAAAAAGCAAGCTTAATCATGTTGCGTTAGTATATTTTTATGTTCCTCAGTGATACAACTCATACATTTGAGTACATCAGAGTCCTGTTATTCTTCCTGGTGAATACGTAACTTGTTGATTATTCAAAGAGGTAGGAGGTGGGGGGTGAGAGAGGAGAATTAACCAAATATGTGTATTGAACATCTTTTTACAAAAACAGATAAATTGCACTGTCACCAATTTTTCATAATAGACTGAGGACACCACTTTGTAGCCAGAGAAAAAATTAGCAGGTGGACTGTGCCAGAAGATATGCCCCAAAGTCACATTATTTGATGATTTATTAATTACTTTACATTGAAATACAAATATGGAAATTGTCCAGGAGTTGCCAAGGAGCAAGTATTCTGGTATGATTTACAATACTTATTCAGTTTTGCTGAACCGAAACAAATGACAAAGTGATAGTGTAAGATTACACCTAAGGCCGGGCGCAGTGGCTCACACCTGTAATCCCAGCACTTTGGGAGGCTGAGGTAGGTGGATCACGAGGTCAATAAATCAAGACCATCCTGGCCCCCCTGATGAAACCCTATCTTTATTAAAAATACAAAAAATTAGCTGGGCATGGTGGCTCGTGCCTATAAATTCCAACTACTCGGGAGGCTGAGGCCGGGGAATGCCTTGAACCAGGGAGTCGGAAGTTGCAGGGAGCTCAGATCGTGCCACCGCACTCCAGCCTGGCAACAGAGCGAGACTTCGTCTTAAAAAACACAACAACAAAAACATTACACATGAAAGATCTCTGAGAAGAACATAAACACTTGTCCTCTGTCCTTTCATATTTGCACATTTGTATTACAGAGCAGAATATGTATGTTCTCTGCAGTGGCTACAGTAGCCTTGTACAATAAGCCATAGCCGTTCTCTCTGCTCTCCAAACCCACACCCAGAGGGGCCAGACCATTCTCTCCAGGTGATCTGGGTGGTACATGACAAAGCCTGAATCTAACTCAGCACTCCAAAATTCCCACAGCTCTGTCTGCTTCCCAAAGCCCCCTGACTTCTAGATACACAGGTTTATGTGGCATGACCTATGGCATTTTATGCAGGATGAAGAACATGGAGCTACAGAGGCAGAAATGAGAGTCCCTAAGAATTCGGTTGTCTGTACTGAAGCATAGAGAAATACACCACGTGTGAGAATGAGAGGTGCTATAATAATCCCTAGTAGGTCTATTATGAGTTAAACACGTTTCACAAGGACTGCTTCAGTCTATTTCTGTGAATTCATTTTTTCTCTGTACCCCCTTGGCTGTTTGTGACCTGGAAGCTCTGTGTCGTCCTATCATTTCCTTTCCTTTTTTTTTTTTTTTTCCTGACTAGTGTCTGTTATCTATGCACAACTGTGAATGCTAACTGATCAGTGTTCCCTGAATGCCTCAGGCACTGGCCTCCATAAGGTCCTCTTGCTAGATCATAGACATAGGCCAGAAAAGAAGCTTTCATTTCACAATTTCTGGCTGTTACAGTTGGCTAGGCAGGGGTGCAGCGCTCATTCCCTGGATCCCAAAGCCGCCTTGCATTTCTGAGAAATATTGAACAGCGAGAACGACAGAGTGGATTCAAAGGCCTGTTCTCTTCACAGCAGTTGAAGCTGGGGCTCCATGGAGGGTCAGTCCCTGCCCAGCAGCGCTCTGCCAGCAAGAATCCTCCGAAGCACATGCTTTCTTCCTGTGTATGATGGCTCCTGGGGGCAGTGGATTCCCTTGCTACAACAGTGCACTCACAGCAGCAGGCTGGTCTCTGGTGTCTCACCCCAAAACAGGGCTGGCAGCATTCACAAAGTGTGGGCAGTTGAACAAAAGATCCTTCTGGAGGATCAGGTGTCACAAACGATCCAGATATTCTAAGCAAATGGCCAAGCCCTGAGCACCTTGGGAGAAAACCTTTACCTAAACCATGAGCATCATCCTAAAGGACTCTTTTAAGAATATGCTAATGTTTACTATAGAGCAGCTTTTAAATCTTAAATATATACAAAGCTGGGAGCTAGGAACTTTTCATTTCTACCAGGCTTCTTTCTCTCCCCTGTGGAGCACTCACATAAATGTATTTCAGAATCATGTGGATTTGTGTGATTATTTAATGGCCATCTACCCTACTAGACTGTCAGCCACATGCGGGCAGAGATGATAACTACTTGCTCAGATGGCCTCCTCACACTTAGTACACTGCTTAGCATATAGTAGATGTTCAATAAATGCTAATAAGCTCACAGAAATCATTCCTGTGGTGGTAAGGACTAAGAAGCGTGCAGAGAATAAACATACCCCTAAACCAGATATTGCTGGGAATTTTAAAGGCTACAGACACAAAGAGTAGAAACATTCTTAAATATAATTGTGGGAATATGAAGACGTACCCATATTACTAATCACAAGATTTGTGAAATGTAAGCCTTGCATTTACATGGCAGGTAAGGGGGAGGTAGAGTGGTTAAAAGTCAAACCATAACAGTTGTATAAAGCAAAAGCCATGTCCACCTTCCAGCCTTCTTGTGAAGGCCCTGGGCAGCCAGGAGAAGGGTGTAGGGAACATATTGCCACTTGCATATTGAAAAGTGTCGCACTGTTGTTTCCTTGCGCAGATTGTGGATGGCAAGCTGTGGTTCCAGCTGGACTGCGGCAGTGGTCCCGGAATCTTGGGGATCTCAGGCCGTGCCGTCAATGACGGGAGCTGGCACTCGGTCTTCCTGGAGCTCAACCGCAATTTCACAAGCCTGTCCCTGGATGACAGCTACGTGGAGCGGCGCAGGGCGCCCCTGTACTTCCAGACGCTGAGCACCGAGAGTAGCATCTACTTCGGCGCCCTGGTGCAAGCAGATAACATCCGCAGCCTGACTGACACACAGGTCACGCAGGTGCTCAGCGGCTTTCAGGGCTGCTTGGACTCAGTGATACTGAATAATAACGAGCTGCCGCTGCAGAACAAGCGCAGCAGCTTCGCGGAGGTGGTGGGCCTGACCGAGCTGAAGCTGGGCTGCGTGCTTTACCCCGACGCCTGCGAGCGCAGCCCGTGCCAGCACGGGGGTAGCTGTACTGGCCTGCCATCCGGGGGTGAGTGTGGCTGCACCGGCCTGGGGGTTTGAGGGGAGAAGGAATGAACTTCAGGGCAATCCCTGCCCTCCCAATGCAAGGACTCTGCTAGGGAGGAATAGTCACACCCAAGTTGCTCACCAAGCTTCTTAATCTGCTTTAGGGAAGTCTCATGCTGGACAGTTACAGGAGTGTCCAGTTTTGCCAATCGTTTGCAGCTTCCCAAAGGTGTGGTGCAGTGCAGTGGCACAGGGGCCCAGAGATACCATCAACTCTGCCCACTCCCCTGTCCATCCCCTGGCCTTTCAAGCCTCGGGAGATTGAGTGAATAGGACCCCCCTTTTAAATATGCCTTCGTTGGCCAGGCACAGTGGCTCATGCCTGTAATCCCAGTACTTTGGGAGGCTGAGGCGGGTGGATCACCTTAGGTCGGGAGTTCAAGACCAGCCTGACCAACACAGAAACCCTGTCTCTACTAAAAATACTAAGTTAGCCAGGCATGGTGGCGGGCACCTGTAATCCCAGCTACTCGGGAGGCTGAGTCTGGACAATCGCTTGAACTCAGGAGGCGCAGGTTGCCCTGAGCTGAGATCGTGCCATTGCACTCCAGCCTGGGCCACAAGAGTGAAACTCAGTCTCAAAAACTAAATATGGCTTTGTAAGCCACCTGCATGTCACTGGAGAATGATAGTAGCACTCAGTTATGATACCCACGCACATGAAATTGCTGACCAGACAGACATACAACCTTTCTAGAAGCTAAAGCTTAATAGAAGTTGTCCCCCAGGAATAGGAGATCTGGGAACATATTTTTAATGCACACATTGCAAAAGTAAGTGTAGTTACAGCTTTACAAACGAGTAGAAAGTCAAGAATAGGGAGTAGGAATTTACACAAAATCTCAGGAAAGATAAGCAGGCAATCAAGACGTGATGCTTTACTAATTTTTTCCCCCACAAAGTACATCATATAGAAGAAAGAGGAGAGTAGGAACACAAACAGAAAAGAATTTATAAAGAGTTTCTTTTGTTTGAGGGAGAAGCCAAGATTATTTAAGTCCTAGGAGTCTAGAGATAAAACAATCCCTGACTCTACGGAGATGCAGGATCTGTGTTGATGTAAACTAGGTCAGGTGTGCTCCGGGTCAAAGGCTTGCCACCTCCCAGCAGCGCAGCCGCTGATTGCACTTCAGCCCCTTTGCAGAGTCACTCAGCAGTCGTGTGATTAGCAAATTTAAACCTTCCTCACAAATCACTTAGAGACTCTGCTGTGCACATTACCATCTAACGTTCCTGAAATCCAACTCCAAATTTAGAGTCCATTTTATTAGAATGTTATAAACTGTCCGTGAAATGATGCACTGTGGAAATACAGACACCAAAGTTGTTTAGACTTGCATATGTTACTACCACAATGAGGGCCAAGTACCCTGGGGGGAAATTTCTGTCGCCTCAATTTAAGAAATCTATTTGCTGTTTTTACTGTCTCAGCAGTATATGTAAATAAAGGGTTGTTATGGTGCCATAATTCCCAAATGATGGGCAGTAACTATACTTCAGTGGTTCTATAAACCAGCCCATTATGACAAGTCATGGCCAGTTTTTCACTAGGCAAAACAATTCTGCTAGTGTGAGCCATCTACAATATATAAAAGGAGCATATAATTAAATTGGGTTGAAATAGAACACCACTCCATGTCAAATGCTGGGTACACAGCCACAAATTGTAACATACTTTTAACGATGGCAGGACATTGTTTTGGCTGGCAGAGCTGCGGGCTTCCACCATGGATTATCTTTAAAATGATGATAATAATCACTGTATGAGGGAAAAGAGACTAGGGAATCTTGCTTTTCAGTGTGCATTTTAATTTTTTTTTAATTGCATGAAATCCTTTAGCTAAGTATTCATGGGAAGTATGTTAATTAAATGCCTGTGACCCACATGGGAAACAGTAATTTTTCTCTATTTTTAAATCTCTTCATGTAACCAAATTTCAGCACTGATGACCCACTTGCCATATACTTTTTATACAACCTAGAGAATTTGTCTTGCCCTCCCTAGGGCCCCAGCCTGGCCTATAGAGCACACTCTCCCATCTACCTCTTTGTCTCCCTGTTCCCTGCTTCTTTCTGTGATCGGGCATTGGATCAGGATTCTACAACAGGTATTCTTTCTTCCAGGGTAAAATAGCCTCTTGTCAGTTCAAGTTTCTCTTCTGTCTTTGGGGGGTTATGTTTTCCTAAAATGAAAATGTATCTTTCCTCACCTTTGTCTACACAGTTCCCTTCTCACAGGCCTACTACCTCTGTTCTGTTGAGGGAGCCCTGCAGGGGCAGCCCACACCAAGGCTACTCCCGAGCCTAGCCTATGGGTTTTTATCTCAGAAGACACCCAGGCATGATCCCACGTGGCCGAGTTTGGGACTCTCATCCACAACAGTACTTGCTACTCACCAGGAGATCCAAGAAATCCAGGACATCTATTGCTTTCCTGGGGAACCAAGGGCAGAAGATTCCTCTTCTGATGTGTGAGGCGGTACCTACCTCTTCCTGGCTATAGGGGTGAAGCCTTGGCTTCCAAGGAAAGCAGGAAGTGAACCCCTTTTTCTTGTTCCTATTATATCATTATGAACAGAGGAATTTTTGCTAGGTCTTTTATCCTATCTGCAAATTCTTTAAATTGGTGCCAAGTAGGGGAGAGAAAAAAGGCAAGAATAAAAGCAAAATTTGGCCTTTACTTTGTATCTATGAAACTATGCAGCTAATTATAAGGATACTTAAAAGAAAAATCCTCTGAGTTGTCAGTTGTAGGTTAAAAAGAACAAGAAGACGGAGTCTCTAATGAAAGAGTATTTATGCCTTCAAGAATTCCCCCTGGCTGCCAGGGAAGTTTAATCACAGGAAGAGACAGTGTTGCACCCCCAAATCAGAGACTAGGATGCATGCAGTCTTCCAAGCGGACGTTTGGGATAGAGGTAGTAGAGTGGGGAGCTTGAAATCAAACTCCTGCACATGAGACTGATAACAAAAGTTAATTGTTTGAGCATTTTCTGTTGTTTGGACCCTGTGCTATCTGTTACTCTAAAATTTCAGGATACATATTTTAGCATAAGCATCCCCTTGACCACTGAAGAATTCTGCAATATTGGTCATTGGTTCTCCTGGTAGTAAACTCCACTGTCAAACTGTGGCTATCCTACTACAGGCAGAATTGTTGAAGCCGGCAACACACAACAAGAAGCATTTTTGTTTCAGGGATGCAGGATTCTGCCCCAGCCACCTCTCAGCCCAATCAAAGCCTTGGCCTGAAAGTCAGGGAAGCCAAGACTACTAGCTTGGAATGACATGGTCAGCAGGTTTGATCAGTATTATAACTCTTGCTGTCCCAGGAGCAGGCCATAGAAACCTCAGGGGATTCAGATCCCAGAACACTGACTTGTAATAAGAGTATAAATATGACTCTAAACCAACCACAGAGAGAAGGCTCTCAGTAAAGCCTTAAAATTACATGTATTTCATAAACATGAAATGGAAATAGCAACTACTGTGGAGAAGCAATGGCTAGGTCCCATTGCCATCCCTCCATTTCCAGATGCAGTGGGCAGGGATCAGCCCAATCTCTGAATAATACCAGCACCCACAGTCTGAATAAGGAGTACTCAGTCCTCCTTGCCTTATCACGCTTAGCTCAAGCCCATTAATGGAAAACACATTTGAAGCCAGCCAGTCACCATGCCGTAAATAGTCATTCAGATAGCATTACATAAAACCAGAAGCCTAAATCCTGAAATGGAAGCTTGAGGAAATTCAAGAGCTACTGCTTGTCAGACTCTTAATATCTGCTTGGTACTGTGGTAAGTTCTTCCATTGAAAGTGCTTATGCCCTGGAACATTTAATTCTCACCACAATACTTGGAGGTCAATACTATTTTTCCTTCCTACCTACCCACCCTCATTTTACAGATTAAAAAAAAAGTAGGCCAGAGAGGCAAAGTCCATAGCCTGCTATCACATAGTAAAGTGGTGAAAGCACACTGGCTGGGTGCAGTGGCTCACACCTGTAATCCCAGAGATTTAGGAGGCCAATTCAAGGTTATAGTGAGCTATGATCATACTGCTGCACTCCAGCCTGAACGACAGGGCAACACCTTTTCTCTAAACAAAAAGCAAACTAGTTTCCCAAAACAATACGTAATGGGATTGGTTTGTATTTTTTTTCCTTGAAAATGCAATGGTTAAAAAAAAAAAAAAAAAAACATAAAATACCTTTTAACAAGTGGGGAAGATGGGATTTGATCCAGGTTTGTGGATCCCTTCCCCACCAGCCCGTACTCTTAACCCTTGCTACTAAAGTGTGTTCCAGAGACCAACAGCAGTGGGCTCACTGGGAATGTTGGAAAGGCAACATCTCAGATCCCACCCTACATCCACGGAATACGAATCTGTATTTTAACAAGATTCCTGGGTGATATAATGATTTGTCTCCCTGTCTCTGAACTGCCCTGATTCCTGGGGAAACTTTGACTTTTTGTTTTTTTACTGTGTATAGTGGTTCTCACACTCTGAGATGCATCAGCATCACCTAAGGACCTTGTTAAAATGAGACCTTGTTATAGAAGACTCTTAATTGCTAATGAAAAGGGAGAATCTATTTACTTGCCTCCAGTATTTGCTGTCCACATCAGGAACTTTCTGCTAGGTCACTGAATCCTATTTGCAAACCTCTGAACTGTGCTACCAGGAAAATTTATCAGTGTAAAGTTCAGGGGAACAAACAAACATAAAGAATCTGAACTGACAAGGGTGGAATTCAGGCATCTGTTTTTAACAAGCCTCCAAGGAGTTTCCCTGCACATCCATTGTTTAAGAACCACTGACATTTGGGAATCCTGAAAACTCTATTTGAAGAAATGCAAGTCAGTGGATTCCAGGAAAGGTAAACAGACATAGGATATTCAGGAATTGAGAGTCAGATGCAAAGCCTGCACTTAAAAAAAGAATTGGTATAAAGGTAGAGTT